CGCATACGCTGATACGGTGATGTTGAAGAAGCACAAGCACGGGAGCCAGAGCAGAGGAAGGTAAAACTAAAGCACGTCTTGTTGCAATAGGACTGCCTACTAAGAAGATGGAAGTAATCTGTACACCAAACACGAGAGAGGCACCCATTATGTTTTGCTGTATGTTCCGAATGGCGTGGAATGCAAAACTTGAAAATTTGGGTTTGAAAACTGCGATGCTCTATGGATGATGAATGTTTTGTGTGCGATCGTCGTGGGAACAACCCACGTGACCGACGCATGTATTACTCAACTCAAGAAAGAGATGCATATGCAACGTTACGGCTTTTCACGGTTAGCTTAATTGGGGCCTCATTCGTCACCATTTGAATGCCATATACAAGCTATGTGTGAGATTTCTTTTTTCGAAAATATGTAGCCACGTGCAAAACTATATGTAACTGGACAAGGGTGACATGTCAGTGCCACCAATCCCAAGCAGATTCCTTCCGATGGGTAAAAGAAAAAAAAAAGACGTGTGCAGCATGGAAAGATCACACGTAGGAGCCATATCAGGAGGGTGGAAATGGTGGCGACACGTACACTTGTTACTATTCCTCTAGCAATACTGCACGTTAACTAGTTACTTTTACTGTTGCATGCTGAAGTAGAGCCGTCGGGTCACATTCTGGACGGGATGCATGTCGCTGCATGTCTCTAGTACTGCTATACGTAGCGGACAGCGGTAAGGGGTGCGAGCCTGGAGGCTCGCATGTATGTGCTGTGTGTTTGCTTTTCTCCCGCCAATGCAACCGGCTTTTTCTTTAAGAAGGTGCAGTGCACGTATCTCTGCGAACGAATACAACCTTCGGCATCTCGATTCTCGATCGCACGTCCTTCTCTGGCGCGCGACTAGGGTGCACAGTGATGTACTTACATCGCTCATTCGCTATAAGATGCTGAGCGCGCCAGGGACACCGTGTCATTCCGCCGGTGCATTCGACATGGATGGAGAACGAAAGAGTCGTAGAACAAAGACATAGCATTTGCAATTTGGCATGTGATGGTCCGAAAAGCGCGCGCTGACGAGGATATGCGTGTGCCGTCCCTCTCCATCACGCCAGGCCATGTAGCAAACGATTTATAGCACAACGCCTTGATTCTGGTCGCGAGGTCCATCCGATTGACCTTTGAATGCCGTACGTCTCTCCATGAACTTCCTATATATGCCATCATCATGCAGAGAGGAGATATATTAGACTTCGGTATCGCATTTGGGCATCATCAGCTAGTACTTGGATCTTGTTTTCCTTTTCTCTGTTTCTCTCTCCCCTTTGGCCTAAGTGCCTTGCCCGAGGGCTTGTATGACTCTGTTCGGCACCTTTGGTGCCCTGCTTCCTCTTCCTGATTTAACCGACAACAGTATATTCGTTGCTTTCGGGGGGGGAAAAAAAATAAAGATCTTCAGCTCCATGGTGAGAAAACACGCAACGGAGAAGTGATGTTGTGATCGCACATCACACTGAGGGCATACTGCATAACCCCATGACTGATGATCCCCGAGTTCGTTTCCATGGATCCGGTTGGGAGAAATCAAATCGCTTCCGAACCAGTACGTACTAGTACTAAGCTACTGATGTGTTGTGATTTTGCTGATGTCATGTCTCACGCGACAGGTAACGTTTCAATATTGTTATATGTGGGGAATAACATTTATTGTCCGGTGGATCACATGTATTCCGTTTAGTTCGGGGCGAAAAGTTTTTGGGTGTCACATCGATGTTTTATGGGACGTTGGAAGGGGTTTTCGGATACTAATTAAAAAATTAATTACATAACTCGTCTGAGAATTGCAAGACGAATTTATTAAGCCTAATTAATCCGTCATTAGCATATTTGTTACTGTAGTACTTTAGTGTCAAATCAAGGATTAATTAGGGTCAAAATATTCATCTCACAATTCACACGCAAACTATACAATTAATTTTTTATTTCATCTATATTTAATACTAAGTTTTTGCAACTAGCCAATATTAATATGCTCGGCGGCCAGTCAGCTGGTAAACCGTGCATGCATGCAGTCCTACTCACATCAAGCATTTTCTCATTCATCACTGCCCACGCTATACCTCTCTACGTGGCTGCTAGGCCTGGCAGGCAAGCGCCCATGCCTCTGACCGCTCGCCTCCCTGCCCCTACTTTCCTCGCCCTATCATTCTTCTTTCCCCTCCCCTCCTCCACTCTCTGTTGTTTAGCAAGCAAGACCAGACCAAGAACCAAGCCCTTTTCCTCTACTCCCCCCTCATGCTGCGGAGAGAGGCCGTCGGCCGCCGCTTCCGGCCGCCGCTTTGGCGTGCCCTGCCGCCGACACGTCCCCCAGGACTACTGCCGTTGATGAAAAATCCCATCCCTTGCCACCGCCGCCAGCAGCAGCCGAATAAGCCCTCTCAAATTCAAGAAAAGGGTGTCATTTTGGGCTTGGGAATGCTCACCCGCCTCTGGCTGCCAGTGTGCCGCGCCGTTCCGGCCAGGCGCGCACGCGACGTCGGCATCCGGCATGTGGCTGACGACGGTGGAGGCCCTCCATCTGCTGGCCTTCTGCCCGCCGGTCACCGTTCCACTGCAGTGGCGCCACCACCAGGGTCCGATCCACGTCCTCCTGCTGGCACGCAACGGACTCCGTCCACTCCGGCGACGCCGCCAACCTACTCCAACTTCAATGCCGCCGACAGCTCCGAACACCCGTCGGCACGTCGCCCTAGAGTGCTGGAGCACACGCTCCCTCCTCACTGCCGTCGCCGCCCCGAGCAGCAGCAGCAGCAGAAGCCGAAAAGAAGCGATCTTTTTGGCTCGGCGTCGGCGATACTGCAGCTGGGGATGAAAACGGCTGTACCTCACCTCCGGCCGCCGCCGTGCCGCGGTGGAGGCCCTCCATCTGCTGGCCTTCTGCCCGCCGGCCACCGTTCCACTCCGGCGGCGCCACCACCGGTCGGACTTCTCTCGACCTTCGACGGGTCCGATCTACGTCCTCCTGCTGGCACGCCACCGACTCCGTCCACTCCGGCGACGCCGCCAACCTACTCCAACTTCAATGCCGCCGGCCGCTCCGAACCCCCGTCGGCACGTCGCCCTGGAGTGCCGGAGGACACACTCCCTCCTCACCAGCGTCGCCGCCCCGAGCAGCAGCAGCAGAAGCCGAAAAGAAGCGACCTTTTTGCCTCGGCGTCGGCGATGCTGCGGCTGGGGATGAAAACGGCGGTACCTCACCTCCGGCCGCCAGCGTGCCGCACTGTTCCGTTGCTGACCGGTGGAGGCCCTCCATCTGCTGGCCTTCTGCCTGCCGGCCACGGTTTGACACCGGCGACACCACCCGTCTCTCCTTCGGTTGGACTCCTCTTCAACTTCCACGGCCCTTGTCCTCGTCTTCCTGCTGGGCCTGGCACACCATGGACTGGCCGCCATCTCCTGGCGCCTCACTGTCCGGTGATAAGGATCAGGCGTCATTTGCAGTTAAACATGATGGTAAGTTCTATTCTCTGATCATAGATATTTTTTACACCTTGTGAACTTCTTTAACCCACAATGAACTTTTGGATTTTATCCTGATGTTACATTCATGTAACTTAGTTTTTCCTGTATATCATAGATATATGAATCGGAATTGCTAAAAGACACTCGTATGTTTTATGGCCTTTGGGCACTCGAATTTTTTTTGTCTCAGATGACTTTGAGATTAGTGCTCAAGAAGGTAACTATCTGAGATAAAGGAGAATTCGTGTGTTGTTTGACTCTCCAACACTTGAATTTCTACTTGCACCTTAGTTACAATCAATTTATATCAGAGTTACACTAGATATTTGGGTGTAATTTTCAAGTATGGGTGGTGTAATTAAAAATTCGGGTGTTTGTAGTCCCTAATAGCACCTGATTTTGTTCCATTACTCCCATGTAGGATCTAATCTAAGACATTTATCTCAGTTTGTGTTGGTTAAAAATTCAGGTGTAAGGTCCTCCCAAAACACCCGGAGTGTTCTATAGACAACTCCTATATGAATCCTTAATTGCAACTGAAGTCGTTTAATGAGATTTTCATTTATCTATTTGCTATTTGCTTTTCGATTAGAATTACTCATAGAACTTTTAGGCTTAAGATCGATCAGAACTCATAGGTGTATTTTTTTTTATTTATGGTCAAATTTCACACAATATTCGGGATTGAAAAACTTAATCCTGTTTTACCTACCGTATAGATAGCCCTATTTGATATGTTTCTTGTTGTTTATTTACTTTACCTTCGTCTATTCATAGGGAACTCAGCCAACAAAGCGGTTGCTAAGCACATTTTCAGATCCAGTGACAAAAGGGATTAACCTGTTGTCAGTAGAGGAATGCGAGAGTGCTAGGGATGAAATGTCATCCGGCATAGAAGATGTCGTGGACAAGATTGCATGCCTTGAGGGTAACCTCCAGAACTTAAGTGCAAGCTATTTGAAAGAATTACTGCAACATGTCTTAAAAGAGTGCAAGAAACACCAGTCGAAGGAAATGTTAAAGAAGTTATACTAGAGAAGATTAGACCTGCACTAGTTGCACGTGTTCTTTTATCACCTTATTCTCTCAGTGACCATAGGGGCATCAAGTTGCTTGAAGAGTATAAGAAACATGTAACAGATGCTAAGTATTTGACAAGTATCGACTTGATGGAGGCGATGATAAACATGACAGAGTTATATTGGAGCATCTTCTTGGATTTCCTAAGTGAAAAAGGATGTTTGGTAATTGAGGATTGGGATAACTCCTTAGGTGCCTCATTCGGGACTACTCTCTATAAGCGTGGAGTCACTTTTGATGGCTCCCGCTATATATAAGGAGAGTGTGATGCATCTTTTCTTGAGGATAAGAATAACAAGAAGAACAGTAAAGCTTCGATATGCATCGCTATATGGACGAGCACTAGTGAGATATTATCGAGTATTGTTATCAAAGATTATCCATGCGAGGATTCTATCGAAGCAGAAGCAATGGCGATGTTTCTACTTCTCAAGGAAGGTATCAGATTGGGTTTACATCTGCACCCCTTTGAAGTTTGTTCAGATTGTCAATTAGTGTTCAATACACTTTGGGGAGCTCATCGAATTGATCTAGATGATAGGAATGCTGATCTTTTGAAGTTGCTAAAGTATATGAGGAGGTATTACACAAGTTTGATCCCCGAATGGCAGCAAAGGGAGAAGATGTTTTGGGTTGATGGCTTGATGAGGGTAATGAAGTTAGAAGGACCTGACACTAATGTGGACCTCCGAAGCCTTCTGAAAAAGGTGAAAAGTTACCTTAGTGGGAAGCCGCTGTTTAAATTCACGCAAAAACAAGGCTCCTTCAACAGTTTGATTAAGAAAAGTAAGAAACTAAAATCTTTACCTCAATGGTTTTATTAATTTTATTCTTTACCTCAATGGTTTTATTAATTTTATTCCTAACCTTTTGGTTAACATTAATGGTATAAGTTGCTCCCTAATTGGTCTCTTTCTTTCTTTTTCTTGGTACAGTTAGTTTTGAAACTAATCACTCTTATTTCTTGCAGTAAGGGAGGAGTCAAGGCAGTCAAGTCTTCTAGACTCGCAGCAGTCAAGTCCTCCTCTAGACTCGCAGCAGTTAAGTCCTCTGGACTTGCACCAAAGATACCAGTCAGAAGTTGAAGAAAAGGATAAAGCAGATATATTGTCCCACATTATTACAGCACTGAGACCGTCCAAGGTTTTTATTGTGATGAAGGAATCTCAGTCTGAAGCTAGAAGTAAGATCTTGAAAATGTATGAGGACTGCAGAATTGAGGAGACTAGTGAAGACAGTGAGAACTGTAGAATGATTATCTTAAATGTCGAGCACAGAACCATATCTAAAACTGCCAAGAGAGACTTGTGGATCAGTTTTGATTCATCGATTCCGGAAGGACTGTTCCAAAACAAGTCAGATTCGTTAATGGTTTTTTTTAAGAACGCCAAGTGAGAAACATGTTGGAACCAAGATTCCAGAACTGAACCCAGTCAGCTTCGTCTCATTTCATAACAGTAAGTGATGTTTATTGCTGTTTTTTTTTAATTTCAATGGTGTTACATGTTATCTGACTTTTTGACTTTTCTCTGGTTCCTGCAGAAGAAAAGAAGAGAAGGTATGTTTTAGCCAATATTCGATGTGCCTTAGTCCTTGAGCAATTAAAAGGAATTACACGATGGTTATGTCCATGAATTTCATGTTGTTTATCATTGCAGCCCCCATCCTAACACTAAGTGGTCTCAAAGCTTTGACAAGCTGTTCATAGTAGTTGAGTTGCCTGAGGCAAAGGATATTATGCTGGATTTGAAGCCTGAGGGCCATTTTCACTTCTCTGCAATGGGAGCTGATGACATGCCATACGAGCTTGACCTCGAGCTATTTGACGCTATTAACCTTGAGGTTGGTTTAATTGTTGACTGGTTCTACCTTCTGGGTACATACTACATTCTGATTATATAGGTTTTGCTGTTTGCAGGAGATAAAAAAAAATAGTTGGAGTCAAAGACGTACGCTACCTTCTGAAGAAGGCTGATAGCAAGTGGTGGCCGAGGCTGCTGAAGAAGGAGGGCAACCCCCCTGTTTTCTTGAAGATCGACTCGTTAGGTATCTGACAAAAGCATTATGTGATGATTCATGAAAGATTTTCATGGTGTTTTGTATCTGCAGAAGCTGGATATCAGAGCTGCAGCTTCTGATCTTCAGAATGATGAAAACGAAGTGATGAACGAAGCTAATGAAGTTCGGTCAGAAAAAAAAGCTAATGAAGGTGCGCCATTCTCTCCTTTTCATCTATGGTGTCCAGAATGAAGAATAGAACTAGAAAACTGGCACGGCGTTGCCGTGCCCCCACCTGAATAGTCCAGTTCCATCGTTGCAGAACTTCATGTACTTGCAGAACAACAAAGGAATGTGCTGCTTAGCGAAATCGTGCATAGATACGTGTACAACAAAAGAGATGCAAAATAATGCATGGTGATTTTATACAGCAAACAACTGTTGCCATCCGGAGATTACTCTTTCTTCTACTGCTATGTATCTGATTTTGACATTGCAGCTGCTATTAAGATAATGTCAAATGACTGAACCAAAGGAGTGTAGATAGTGTTGATACCCTAGAATATGTTTTTTACTTTATTACCCTAGAACCAAGGTGAGCTAGCGCTGCGCAGTGTCGCGGGCGACGGGAGGGCACAGGGTTCGCGGAGGCTTTGTGCGGGCAAGCTGGACGGCCAGATCAACGGCTCGATCGACAGTGGCTCGGGAATCCGACGGTTAAGAAAATATAGGCGACGTGGCCCAATCATATGCTCGAGCTTGGCTCAGGATTCAAAAGGAAGAGATGTAGTGGTAGGCAAGTGATTCACTAGTTGGGGTCTTGGGGAGGAACCTGTTCCTGGATTCATGCTTCAAGATGGACATGTATTAGAACTACAATGCAGAACTGGAGATTCTAGTGTGTGGGTTATCTAACTATTGGAATCCTGTTAATAGAACATTTGTATCTTGAAGCTCTGAAGAGCATATGGCAGAGCAGCCTTTGGTTTTAGCACTTTAGATGGCATTTGTTATAGTGGTATGTTTAGCCAGTTCTTCTAATCAGAGTCTATAAATACTTGTACGACCTTTTCAAGCCCCATCAAGAATAATCCACTCTGAAAATTGACCTAGACAGCAACTAGATTTATCGTTGCCTTTCATGCTTGCGTGTAGCTGCAGCCGCAATAAGTCACGGCTTATGTCGATTTGTATACAATGTTGCGAAGAGTCCTGGGTCTATCAAGTAGTTTTTTTCTGGTCAGGTCATGTGGTTTTCTTCTTTCCTTGGTGATCTACTTTTCATGATCTTGAGGTCTACTCAATGATAAGAAATCTTCTACGTATGTAAGAGAAAGTTGTTTTGCCCTTGAAAACCATTTCAACCTTGACTGGCTGTCTCCATCCATTTTCCGCTATACACCCTACAAGTTATGTTCATTTCATGACTCAGCTGACCATATTTTTCGAAAATGTGCAGATGTGGGAGGAAGTATGGTGGAGCAGAGTAAGGGGGAGGAAGCCCCGACAGGAGCTGCAAAGGAAGAGAAGCCATGAGGAGCTTCAAATGATTGTTTATATGTTCCATGGCTTGAACAACCATGTGAAAAACCTGCATGGTATTTAGCCATATCTTCCCTGACATTTTTTGTTGTAAAACATGGAGAATGGTCAGAAATGGTGCTGACTGGCTGAACCTAGTACTTCCATGAATCATTTGTATCAAAGTTTATTTGTACACCGTACAAGGTCATCAGCTGTTTCTGTGACGTCATGGTGATATTTATTTTAGCTGTTTTGTGATGATGACTGTGCCGTGCTGTTTAGAGAACAATTTTGTTCATATTGCGGAGACTTAGACTTGATGTGGCTGAACTTCATTACTCTGTGAATCATCCGTGAACTACATGGTTTTCCTGATGAGTGAGGGTGATGTGCATTCGGCGGCACCTTTGATCCTATATTTGAATTTTATTAGAACTTCGTATAAATTTCACATGAATCCTGAATCCAAATTGGGGCCAGACTAGGAGTAGCGAATGGTCTGTGTGATGTGCAACGTCCCATGCCCAGCACTAGTTCTGTTCCTTTATCAAAATGTTCACGTCAAACAGCATGTCTGCTGTGTTCAGAAAGAATTAAGACCTTTTCGATGCGGTTATCCCAGAACAAATGTCCTTCTTGATATGTAGGCTAACATGAATTATGGTGGTTTCACATTCCCCCCCCCCCATTTCAGTTTGTTTCGAAGTCCTAAAGCACTAAGGAGAGTCAAAAGGATGTCAAGTTTGAGGATTTTTAATTTAAGATTTACAAATATTTGTAACATGCAAATTTTGTATTGCATGTTAATGAACCTAATCCAGCATCATGTGTATCATTTAATCATGTCCATTGCATAAGTAAATGCAATCGTAATTTAAACTCAAATTAATAAATTAAATTGGAAAACACACCTTCTTAAGTAACTTCAAAATTTTGAACATAAATTATGATGGAAATTAATTTCATAAATAGATGTTAAAAAATGAATTTTAATGAATTTTCACATATTTTTAGGAATGTTTTGATGCTTCTATAATTCAAACAAAGCTAACCACATATACAACTTTGAAGAATTTTAGTTAAATATCTACTTCATCTTTTCGATTGGTTCTTGTACAAATGGATTCAGCGTCATCTATTTTTTTTAATCCATCAAATTTGTATGATCTTTGGATCTTCCTATGTCCATGTTTCGGATTTTGGAAGACATAAGAAGTTGTCGATCACGGGATCCACGGGATACCCCGCAAGGAAGAGAGAAGATCTAGTCTAACTAGGATATCTTCCCATGTAATCCTAGTAGTAGTTCTACCCTGTAATCTTACTAGGACTCTACATTGTAAACCAACTAGGACTCTTGTCTCCTGGACTATATAAAGGAGGGCAAGACTCCTTAGATCGGTAAGATAGAAAGTAAAAAGTCCAGAGGAGAAGGTCTAAGGACAATTGGAACATATACCAATCAATCCAACGCAAAAGGCTAACGCCGACTGGACGTAGGGCTATTACTCGATCACGGTCGAGGGCCCGAACCAGGATAAATCGACTGTCTCTTGCGTTAACCGCCGAGTTCTGCATACGCCGAAGCCCGAACAACTGTCCCGGGTACCCCCGTGGCAGGCTATCGGTGGTAAAACATTGACAGCTGGCGCGCCAGGTAGGGGCTTTAGGCGGATTTGCATCCGAGAGCTCGATGGACCTCGACAACATGATATTCTCAACAGGATCAACTTTCATCTTCGGATAATGGATCGTGAGGCGGACGACGACGGCAAGCTCTAAAACCGTCTCCTCGAAGATTCAGATCGCCATGAAGACCTCGCTATTTCGACGACTACGATAGATCAACTCGCCGGAAGACTCACGCAGCTCGTGATGTCTGATCCGACTCAGACTTCGTGGCCAACCGCATCCCACTCAGGCTCAGGTTCCGCATCCGAGATGGAGTCTTACCCGAGTTCTTTCCACAATAGTCCGAGTTCTTTTTCGACGGGGCTCCGGAACGCGGCATCAACCTATCAAGAATTCAACTCGGAGAACATTCAGAGTTCTTTCAAGAAGTCGGGTCCTTTTCTGTTTGGGCTCCATAACATGGCAACATCTTATCAGGCACAACTCGAAAGATCTATCGATCCGGTGCTAAAAATGCCACTAAAAGGAGCTCAGAAAGGCCTCGTACTAACTATAACATCGCAAGACTGCATCGTCCACTGGCCAGGCTCTGTTCCTGAGGATAACAGTACCCTGCTAGTCGACACGACAACGACAATGGTTCTACCCTACCAAGAAGGAGACTCAATCTACGACCCTGAAGCCTCTAATGAAGTTCTCAACAACTCTGACAGCGTGGAAGCCGACGTCAATAACAGAACACTTCACGCACGAGAAGTATTCATGGTTCGCCGTCCCTGATCACCGTTGGCCCCTCCAGAAGCACCCGACATCAGGTCATCGGATGAATCCGAATCCAACATATCACCCTTTACCTAGTGGCACGATGGTGAAACCGAGAGCCAGAAACAAGCCAGAGAAAGAAGAAACAAATTGAAACAAGGACGCCAACGCCGTGCCAGGCAGCGCAAAGAAGCTTGGATCAGATATGAGTCAGATCTGACCGAGTACAATAGAAGAAAATCAGAGCAAGAAGCCGAATAAAGACGCACGGCAAAAATACCCTACAATAGGATCCGAGAAGCACTAGAAGAACTCGGAGCAATCTCACATCCCAATGAAGAACAAGAACAGCTCCGGGATATTCTCCGATCAACAGCCTTAAGAACACATGACGGAAGGTCCCGCTCGAGGCTACCCGCCAGGTCAACATCTCACAGACAGGAAGATCAAAATCAAAGAAAGTCCGCTTTCGAGAGACTTGGGCCAAGCGGAAGTCACACCAGAGAAAGTAGAAGAGACCATAGTCAAAGCAACCGAAGTCGAACAACCGAAGGGAGATTAGAAGCGAGCACCCCATCGGCACCTAAAGGAAATCACACCATCGGAGATTGCTACACCTTCATTAATCGATACACGAGAAAAAAGATAATAAGGGGACAACAAAGAAGACAATCGGAAAAAAGATGAAGACAACCATGAAGATAAGAGATTCCAAAAATCCAAGGAGACAATGGTAGTGATCTTTTCTCGATCCCGGGTTCTAGAAGCAAGCATCAAGACAAGCTTGGCTCTACGGACCATCATGGTAGCAGTAACCGCTACTCCAAGATACCTCAATTGGTCGCAGATCCAATCAGTTTTCAAGGAAAGATCAATGGACTAGTGTAGGGAACGCCGCCACTACCCACTCGGTTTTAGATCCAACTATCGTCGGTATGACCGTCACAAAAGTGCTAATCGACGGGGGAGCCGGACTCAACATCATTTTTTCAGAAACACTAAGGAAGATGGGACTACAACTCGTCGGGATGATTACTCCAACAAGTGTCCCTTTCTATTGGATAGTACCCGGCAAGGCAGCCATGCCACTTGGACAAATCACTCTACCAGTTACTTTTGGGACTCCCTCAAACTACCGTACAGAGTTTATCAAATTTGAAGTTGCAGACTTCGAATCATCATATCACGCCATCCTTGGACGTCCAGCACTAGCAAAGTTCATGGCGATACCACATTACCTGTACCTATTGCTTAAGATGCCAGTCCCAACGGTGTTCTTTCTCTCTCTGAAGTGATCTGAAGCGTGCCTTCGATCGCGATGTTCGTGCAATTCAAATTGCGGCCAAGGCACAAAGCGCCAAATGAAGGGGAAGAAATAGCCACTATTGCTACAGAAATGAACCCAGAAGAACTAGAGATCCCGGCTAAGAGGCCGAGCATCCTTGCACCACCAAAAGAAGCCGACGTCAAGCAAATCGACCTAGGCACCGGTGATCCCTCCAGGACGGCAACCATCAGTGCACACCTCTCGGCAAAATAGGAACTCGAGCTCACCAACTTTCTTTGGGACAACAAAGATATCTTTGCTTGGAAGCCGGCCGACATGCCAGGTGTCCCAAGAGAGTTGGCTGAGCACATAATTGATATCAATGAAGGCTTCAAGCCTGTGAAGCAACGACTACGACGATTCTCACCCGACAAGAAGGCAGCAATTAAAAAAGAAATTACAAAGTTAATGCAACTTTGTAGATGATAATGCAACGTTTGTCTTAGCAAGGTGTTATTGCTAGCTGATAGTTCTAGTTGCTCGAAGATTGAACTTGCAACAAAAATTAGCCCAAGACTTAGAGTGATTTTCAAGTCTGAAAACAGCTTGACCAGGCCATGTTCGGGAATTTATTTTGCTTGAATTTGTTAGTAGATGGTGTCGTGGCTTAGCCCTGGTAGCTAGCCCTAGGTACCCTCTCGGGTATTGTATAGTTGGATGAGCTCGATTCAAGATTGGTTAGTGGGTACGCGGGCTTTAAAAATCGTGCACGGACACTTGTCTCGGCTGTCGGCCTCGGCGTGCGCGGTCACCTCGTGGGCCACCGATGTCGCGCGCCTGGCCGCGCTGCCGCGCTGGGCTGGCCCGGTCCATCCTGGCTCGGCCAGGGTTGGCCGCAGCCAGCCCCTGTCCCCTCGCTGCCCCCCACGTTGCGCGCATTGGGGTCAACTCGACGTCACGTCCATGCCCTAGCCCAGCGCTACTGCTGGCCAGCCGGCCGCTGCTCGCGCGTGCCACTCCCTCACCGCCCACACACGTCCTGGCGTGTCTCCTGTGCGCGTGCCGCCCCGACCGTGTCGGTCCTAGGCAGCCAACCCGGAGGTGACCCGAGCGCTGACCCCTCCTCCCTCCCCTTCTACCATGGCCATCGGGCCCACGCTGTTCTTTTGCGGCATGGTGGAGCCACCTCGGCCCAATTCGCCTTGCACACCGCTTGCAGCCGATTACCCTAGCCGCCGTCCCCACCTCGCGCTCGCGATCGCACGCAACCGAGCTCCAATTTTGGAGTTTGTGTCCGCACCGGGCCCATTAAGGCCGAGCTCGCCGTGACCTGACCTCGGTTGCCCTCTAG